TGATGGGGTCAGGTCCTCCACCCTCTTCCCTGCCTTCCCCTCCCTTCTCCAGGTGCCCTGGAGACAATTCCGGTGGCGTTGGCTTTGCACCCAGCGCGGCTGATTCCTGGGGCTTGCAAAGAGATTGTTCCCCGCAGCGAGTGCGGTTGGTTTTGTGTCCCCAAGAACCAGGGGGGCGATGAGTGGGGGCACCCAGAGATCGGGAGATCTCTTCAAGCTCAGGTAGACAGGAGGGGCAGTAGAAATCACTGCCTGCCTGGTGGTTGAGCCTCTTTCTCTGTCCTGGGCTGGAGCTTTTGGTTGGGGAATAAAACTATAACCCCCTCAGCTTGATCCCGTGTGAGGCTGCAGTCAAAAAACAAATAGGAAAAAAACCTGAGGCACAGCTTTGCGCAAGATCACGCGGGGAAAGGAAATTAAGCTCTTGTCTTTGCCCAGGACTGGGGGAGTTTCTTTTCCCAAAGGCTGATTTTTTGGGGTGAGCCGTTTCCATTCCTGGAAACGGCTGTGCCAGGCCTGGGAAATGAGCCTGGGGGAGCTCTCTGTCTCCTCCTCTCTTGTGCCCTGTCTCTTGGCGTGGCTCCAGATACGAGCGCGAACCCGGAGGACCAGCTGTGGGTGAAGTGGGATTTGGCGTATTGAATGAGTTTGGAAATTGGAGTGGGCTGGGGGGGTATTTTTGGCTGAGTATAATTGCATTCAGTGGGACTAGGTGTAGTGGAAGTTCTCTAGAGCTCTAGGCCACCCTTTCTCCACCCCAGGAACACATTTCCATCTCACTTCCCACACATTGTGGAACACGTGGAGGGATTTTTTTCCTCCCCTTCTCTAGTACAGAGCATGAATTCAACTTGTGCCAGATTTCCCCAGTTTAAATTTACTTTTGTGAGCCCAGTCAGTGCCCGGGGGAGCACTGGGAGATGTCTGCGCCGACACCGTCCGCTCTACTTCTGCCCAAAGGAGCATCCCTGCATCTGGAGGGAAAGGAGAGGTGGGAGAAGAACCAGAAATGCTCCCATGTGCAGCTGGATTGCTGTTCCGTGGGGAGCAGATGGGCTGCAAGCTGAGTTTCCAAAGGAAAACTTCACAAAAGGTTGCTTCTAGTGTTTTCTTGCAGGATTTAGCCCTAAAAGGACAAACAGGGGTGTGTTTCTGCGGGTTAGAAAGGGTCTGTGGCCTTCTGAGGAGTGGGGCTGGCCAGAGCTTTTGGTGTTAGTCACCAAAATCAGACACCAAGGAGGGGAAGGTGACAGGTTTGTTCCCTGGACGGGTGGGATCTGATCGAGGGAGGTGTTTCTCACTCCTGGTAGCTCTGTTGGGAACTGGTTTGCCATCTCCGAGCAGATCCCCGGACTGACTTGAAAGCGTGTGTAGGCTACAGAGGAGTGAGATTTCAGTCTCCGTGCGGCAAAATGAATCTGGGCCAGCCATGCTGGCTTATGGGCTTGATTTCCACCGGGACGGGAGTTCTTGGTGGGCGAGGGCCACACTTTAGGATCAGGCAAACCTCTGTGTCTCAGTCTACCTTTGTAGCCACTGTTCTACCCTCTTGAAGCATTTGGGGAAAGATCCTGACTACGCTTTGCTGTTCTCTTAGCTCCTGGGAGCTGGTTTCTCTCTCCCCTGGGAGGCTGCGCTTGCTGGAGGGAGGGAGGGGGTTGTTTGGGATGTGGCACTTTATGGGATCCAAGGTTTGCGGAGGCCTCCGAGCCTTATAGGCTGGACTTGATGATCTCAGAGGTCTTTCCCAGCCTCTGTAATTCCGTGATTCTCTTTGGAGGCGTTTGCAGTGGTGTCACCTGCCCAGGAGAGGGAGCCTGGAGTTCACACTTGGGTGCTCCCCACCCCGGGAGGCAGCAGCCCAGGTATTCGGTGCCCTTAGATGTGGTCTGGGGCTCAGACTCTCCCTGCTTGGAAGACAGCAGAAGAGCCCTGCCGCTTGCCTCTCTCTGCTCTGGCTTGTCTTCTGGACTCCAGCCCAGTTGCTGTTGTGCAGACGTGAATATTTCCCTGGTGATCTTCCCTGCCCGACTCTGCCCCACCAAAATCAGCTCTGCCCCGCTTTCAGCACGCGCATTTATCTGTCCCGGCGTTTTGCCCCTGGGCTTTGTCTCGCAACTGGGCCATGTCCTGGACATCTGATGTCTCCTTTCCCCACGCTTGGGCAGATGCTCCAATCTTTGGCTCCAGACGGGGTTTGAGATCATCTTTGGGGAGCTCCTTGCAGCTCACACTGATCCGGCTTTCCCCGGGGACGGCAGCGCGCTGGGGTGTGCGGGGGTGGCTCTGCCAGATAAGGTGGGTGGGCTCGCCTGCATTCCACCGAGCCCCTTAGCAGCAGCTCAATCTGGTGGCCGCTGTGTTGATTACTGTGCTGGCTCAGCACCCTTATGGGACTGTCCCCCAGCACCCCAAAGGAGACTCTGAGATCCCGAGCTGATGGTGCCGCTGGGGATTTCTCACAGGGGCGAGGGGGGCGATGCCCTTCACTGGACGAAGGAAAACGAGGCGGAACGTCCCTGGTGAATTCAAGCTGCTGGGTTTAGGGCTGGCTGTGTCTCTGGTGTGAGAACAGCTACAGAAATTAGCCCTGAGGAAGGGGCCAGTCCTTCAGGTGAGGTCAGGGCTTGAGGGGTGCTCGAGTGGAGGGGGTGGGACGGGGGGATGTGGTGTCCCAAAGCAATGGGACTGTCTCAGACGTAGCTCAGCTCCTCTCAATGGAGTGCAGGAATTATTTTGCTGCATAAAATCGTTGCCTTGGTATGAGGTGGCTTGATACGCACTTTCCAGTTTTCAGTGGGGAAACTGAGGCAGAGAGCGGTGAAGTGACTGAGACGGTGAAACGGTGAGATGGGTCCTTCTCTCCTGCGCCAGCGAACCGAACCCAGCAGTGCGGCTTTGGAATGCCCTGCTCTGGCCTCAGGGCTCTCTCCTAGCCCCCTGGCTCAAAACAAACTGTCCAAACACCATATGGCAGGGAGGAAAAAATAAGTAAATCTAGAAACTCTCTTCTTGCAGAACTGGGCTGCAGTTGAGCCCCTGGCTGTGAGCACGCGTCTCTGACCACCCTGTTGTCCTCCAGTTCCCCCAGACTGAACGTTCAGGGCTCCCGAGCCCTCCTTTTCCATTCAGGTTTCATTCTGGGCAACACCAGCGCTGTGTTTCTCCTTTCCCCTCCGTCCTGGTCGCGGAGCCTCAGCCCCACCCCACCTTGCAAGGGCCGCTCAGAGCCCTCATTCATCGTCTGGGCCTCCCGCACCTTTGCCGTGGTGCAGCCTTGCACAAACCCAGCATTGTTCCTCCAGCTGAAAGGGCTGAAGAGCTCTGCTGGGTCCTGCCTCCAGGGGAAGCTCTGCGCTAAAGTGCTGTCTCTCCTGAGCTGGGAAGAGCTCGTAAGACCCGGAGCTTCCCCCCGTAAGTCCCCTCTTTCCCGTCTCTTCCAGTTTGAGAAACTGGATTTAAATGCTTGGGAGCTTTTTTCTGCTGGCCTGGGCTGTCCTCCCCTCATCTGTCCCCGCACCCGTCGAGCTGACCCTGGAGGTTCTCTTGGGTGGGCAGCAAACAGCCGAGCAGAGATGCTCCCTGTAGAATCATTATGGTTGGAATAGACCTTCAAGATCATCAAATCCTCCAGCACTTCTGGTGCATTTTCAGCTTCGTTTGGCTGCCAGAGCTGAGCCAAGAGCCCTCGGCTGAGACCTGCTGACAACTGTTGAAGGAATTGCTGTTTCAAATGAGCTGTGGTAAGAAATTTGGAAAAAAGACAACACACTGTGACACTCAGTTCTTTGTTATAACTTTATTATTACCCTGGAGAGCAGGAGTTCTGGTTACATAGACACTACGGCAGTTGTCTGTCCTACAGAAATGTGGAAGTACTGCAATACACGTAACGGAAATATGCCAAGGGACTCATAACAGCTCCTCTTGTGAACTCAAAATCTGGGAACTCGAGTGGGGCTGCGTGGCAGTGGCTGAGGCCAGAGTCTGGCCTCGTAAAGGAAAATGCTGCAGGGCCCTGTCAGTGTTAGTTTGTGCAAGAGAGCCACAGAAATGTTTTGTGTTGAGGCCAGGACATCCCCTCCAACGTTGCTCGCAGGAGTACGTGGCATCTACAGAGTTCTCTAGTAGCTGTGGTGTGCGGTGGCTGGTGTCAGCCAGGTAAGGTGAAAGCTGCTCTGTAAGGTCAGGAAATACAAAGACAAGTCCTGCTCGTTGCGGTTAAACGGGAACCAGCGATTATCCCGTTTCTAGGACCTGACACCACTGTATGTGGAGCCTGGAGTGCCTTTAGGTGAGAAAGGCAGAGAAGCTTTGGGAAGTTTGAGGTTTGGAGGTGTAGGAAGGAATGAGGGGCCACCCAAAAAGCAGTAAAATCAGTTAAATAGTCGAAAATGGCCAAGGGATCCCTTGGTCCAGCCAGCAGGTTTGTCACCAGCTGTGCAAATCCAGATGTGGCAAATCCGCCTGGCTCAGGTTGTTTACCTGCGACTCGTGACCAGCTCAGTTTGGAAAGCTGGAAAGCTCGATGCTGCCTTCCCCTGAAAGCCACAGCGGGGAACAGCTCTCACAGGCACGCGTGGAGCAGGGACAGAGCAGGGAGAGTGATTTGTAACACTGGCAGCATGGCTGGGCTGAGGGCTTCTGGCTGCTGCATTAGAAGCTCGTGCAATCAGGCTTTCCCCCCCTGCCAAGTTTGCTATAGAGAGATCTCAACGGCTGTGAGTGCAAATCCTTTGGGGAAACAAACCTAGAGAGGAAAATGTTGGTGCCAGTGTGTGAATGGGAGAGTCTCTGAAATCCCAGGTGGGTTCCTGCTTGTAACTGGGAACAGAGGTGGTAACCGGGATGTTGTAAAGACACAAGAGACAGCCTGGAGCGGATTCTCATCCCCTCGGACCTTGGCTTGAGTTCAGGAGAAAGTGCTTTGGCCTCATTTGGCTACAGGTGCCGACGAGCCTCGTGTTTATGCTGCGGGGGCTCCGTTTCTCGCGGGAGCGTCACTCAGGGCAGGGAGCTGAGCTTTGGCCGGGCACCGCTGACGACAGCGTCTGCTCCAGGTGGCGCCGAGTTGGAACCGCGGCTTCTCGGGGGCGGATGCCTCCGTTGGGCTTCGTCTCGCCGTTGGTGCTGCCCGTTCCTCTTGCAAACAGCTTGGAGTTCCTCAAGGTGCTGGCAGAAACTGCAGAGGTGGTGGTGGGGAGTGAGAGAAAGGGAGATTAGAAACATTTTGTTCACCATCTGCTTCAGCAAATTGTGCACATAAACCCACTTACGGTGCTTTGGTGTGGAGTGGACAGCGCTGATGACGGTGGGTATCGGTTGCTCCATGCTGTGGAGAAAAAGGACGGAATGTGAGCACACGGGCTAAATTCTGCTGTGCCCAAGAGATGCTGAGGACTGGAGTTTGGCCCATGTGAGCTGGGCCAAGTGCGTGGCTGGCTCACAAAGGCCAACTCAACAGCATCTGGGCAAAGCATCGTCTAGAGAGGTGCTGGAGCCCTCAAGCTTGGGGAGTCTGAGGAAAACTTCAGAGCAAGATACAAGGCTGAGCTGTGTGGGGGCTGCTGGGATTTGTTCTTTCCTTCATCACACCTTTGGTACCAAGGTTTGGGATGTCTGCTTGCTCCCTAGGTGGTTCAGGCCCAGGGAAGCCCAGATTACCTGCTCTCCTCCCCTTCCATCAGCTTCCTGTACGTGAGGATCTCCACATCCAGAGCCAGCTTGATGTTCATCAGCTCCTGATACTCTTTCACCAGGTGAGCCATGTCCTCCTTGCTCTTCTGTAGGGCTTCTTCCAGCTCGGCCAGTTTGGCTTTGGCGTCCTTGAGGGCCATCTCGCCGTGCTCTCCTGCCTCCTTGATGTGCTCCTCCAAGTACAGGCACTGGTGTTGCAAAGGCAAAAAAGGGCAGTGGAGGGTGTTAGGTGTCTTGTAGGTTGGACCTCTGTGTCAAGAGCTTTGTCACCCACCCCGAGACACACCTGGCTCTTTTGGGACACGATGCAGGACCTCAGCTTCTGGATCTGTATGTTCAGGTCCGCGATCTCCCGTCGGCTGTCGAGGAGATGACCCCCGTAGGTGCCTGACTGGGTGCTTCCTTCGTTCAGCTGCAGGAGAGATGGGAGAGTGGGTCGTCTGCTCTGCTGTGGGGAAGGAATGAATCTGCAAGGATTCCCACTGCCCTTGAGAGGACACCGCCTCACTGGGGAGGAACGGGGGGTGCGTGGAAGGGTTTAGGGCTCATTCTCTTCTGGCTGTAGCCGTGCCAGGTAGAGAGCACGCTGTCTCGTGGGGTTAATCACATTCTCGCTCAGTTTGGAGGAGGCACCAGTGGGAGGGTATTTTGCGTCTCAGGTGGGACAGGCTGCCCCTGAGAGATGTCCTTGTCTTTCTCCACTGACAGCCTGGAGAGCCTAGAGCAGTGAAACTGCTAATTTGCACCCCGGAGTTAGGAGGAGTTGATTTGGGTTAGCACCCTGTCCCTCCCTCCATCCCAGGTATGGTCTGTCCCTCCACATCTTGCTGATTCCTGTAGTTTCTAGGCTGCTCTCTCTCCCTCTTCTTTCACTCCCTCTCCCCAGTATCAATCAGATAAGGAGACAAATACCTTTCTCCTGGTAAGTGCTTCAGCCTCCTCCCAGCTCCGAAGAGCCAGAGCTTCATACTGGGCCCTGACTTCTTCCACGATTCTGCTCAAATCAAGCTTGCACGTGTTGTCAATTCCCAGTACTACAGAAATGTCCTTAATTTCTGTCAGCAGCTCCTCGAGTTCCTGAACAGCAAAGAGAGAATAGGACTGACATACCAAGTACTCGGCAAAGCTACGAGCTGGGGAGAACCGAACTGTGGCAGATCTGCTGTGCTTAGCCAGGCAACGCATTTTCCGCCTGCAGCGTGGCGAGATTTCCTAGGATTTCAGTCTCTGAAATTTGGAAGCTGGTAGTGTTTCCCTCCATCAAATCCCGGCTCGGTCTAGGGACTTGGTTTGGAACCTTTGGATACAATCGATTAAGAGCCTGACAAAACAGTGCGTTTGAACTGGTGAAGGTGCTTCATTATCTGTCGGTGTTGAGATGGTGGGAGTGTCTGTCTCGTATGAGAAACGGGGTGGTGTGAATCATTTTGCAGGCTGGTGCTGCTAGAAAGATGCCTTTGCTGAGCTCTGCTTCGGTATCTAGAGAATCTGGGGCTGCCCCTTGTGTTGTTATATCTGCTTCGTGTCTAAGAGAAGGGAGAAACAGGACCCTTCTTGGAGTACTTCCGTTATCACGGATTGGGATATTTGCTCTTGATAGCTGGCTTGGGTCACAGCTTCAGAGAGAGGAGCCAGACACTGATGGGTGAACCTAAAAAGGACCCTTAATCCGTGCGTGTAAACCACGCTCCCGGGTGCTTTGTATCCAGGTTGTGATGCAGAGCAGATGGTGCACACGCGCCTTGGCAGCTCCCCCCCAGCCTCAGAGTGTTCCCTGTCACCCTTATCACCATCCCTAGACTTGCTTCTGATTCACAGGGGTGTACAAAGAGAGCAGCGCCTGTCTCTCCTTCTCTTAACCTTTCATCTCGACCTTTTTGTTCTTCCCCTTTGTGCTGAGGGCTCTAATCTCTTTAAAGAAGCATTTGTGTACCTTGTTTGCCTTGCCTTCCCCTGACTGGCGAAACAAAAGGCGCCCTGACCCGATGATTCATGAATAACGGGAGAATACCCCACAGCTCATCCACAGAGCGGGATTGTCAGTGTATTTTTTTTCGCACTGATGTCTAATCCTCGAGCCTCTTTGTTAATCTTTGAGCAGGTTAATACCTATTTGAGAAGATGCGTGCTCGGTGCCAGTACTTGAGCATCCTCTGCCGGGGGGGGGAAAAAGTAAAAAACAATCTGGTGGTTTATTAATGAGGATTGAGGCTGGGATTTTCATACCAACACGCTGTGTGAGCAAAGCTGTCAAGCTTTGCCCTTCCCCTGGGTACGTATGCCGCTACGTTGATGTCGGTCAAATCGACAGGTACAGGTGAGAAAATGACTGACCCTGAAGACAAACTATTGAGAGGAGAGGGCAGAGAGAGAGGTGGAGGGTAATTTCTTTGTGTAAAGCTTGGATTAAAAAAAAAATAAGAAGAATGCCAGCATTATGGCATAACGGGCAGCAGTGTGGAACCCAGAGGAAATCACCTCAAGGAGAATATCTCGCAGCGGGATCTCCTTTCCAGCTACCCCTGTGAAATCCCTTGCACCAGGAATACTCTTTTTCTTTTTTTTTTAGAGAAAATGAGTATTCACAGTTTCTTGCAGGCTGGGCACGTGTTCTGACGCGCTTCTGATACGATGCAGGTCCTTCTGCCTCTCTGTGCCTCAGTTTCCTCACAAGGAACATTCACGTTCCTCTGTCAAGCATTTTAATTGTTTGCACTGGTGGAATTTCGACAAATCATTAGTATTCCCGAAACACTGCCGAGCCTGCTCGGTGACATTTTATGAGCGCTGAGTAAGTGGCTGGAATCACCCTGTTTGAGGAGCTGCAGGCACGTCGCAGCCTCTGGGTTTGTCCGAAGGCTCCGAATCCTCCCCCCTTTGGTGAAATCATAGCCCCCCTGCGCGATTCTCGTCTGAATGGAAATGGGTTGTGTGGGGTCCTGTTAAAGAGGATCCAGCACCTCACCCGGGTTCGTCCTGTTTTGGAGTGAGCCCTTGGAATAGAAGAACGTTCAGCTCGCTCGGGACCTGAGGTGCTTGGTCTCAAGGCAAGGGGGAGGTTAAGGAGCTGAGCTCCAGCACAGCCAGCTCGGGAGATTCTTGGGGGGCTCCTGAGTTAGAGGGGAGACCCACTGGCGCAGCCTCCCCTACAGGAGCAACTTTCTGATCAAATTGGTTAAAGGAAGGGGATTAACTCGTGAGACCCCGCCTTGAGCCATTAATAGTTGTCTGCGACACCACGCAGCTCTGCGGGACGAGCTCTCCTTTTGGTGTGAACGCAGAACAATGCCCTCTCCGGAGTAGAACTGTCCACAAAAAATGCTTTTTTTTTATTTTTTGCAGAGTAGCTTGCGTGCTCCTGGGCCACTTCCCCCAGTTGCGTTTTTACCTGCTCGTAGATGGTTTTTTTCAAATCCATCAGCTCTTGGAGGCCTTTGAGTTTTACTTCCAGCTCGGTTCTGTGCAAGGTGCTTACATCTAAATCCTAGAGGAGACGGAAAGTGTATTAATCGAGAGTTTTGAGTTTGTAGCAAGAAGTTTCTCCCACTGCCACCTCTCTCTGCTAGCTATTTGTTGGGAGGAACTTGTGAAACTGCTCCTTTGGGGACCTTTTTCCTCTGTAGGTTGTTGGTTTTTTGGGTGGTTTTTTTTTCTGAGCGAGCGCTTTGGTGGAAGTCTCAAACAAGGCAGGGTGGAGAAGGAAGCAGGCAGGGCTGGTCCATGCCCACTCATCTTTTGTTCACCACAAAAAGCCTGAGTTATTGAGAAAAAACCCTCCGATGCCATCCACAGAAGTCACCAGAACTGCCCTTACTGGCTGATGAAGGGCGTCCGGGAAAACATGCAATTAGCCGTAATGATCGTTTGCGGAGAACATTTCCTCTGTCTAATAATACCCTGCATTCCTTCCCCCTCGGATTATTTTTGTTAATGTAAAGGCTGTGCCCAAAGCCTTCTGTCTCAGCTGATACTCCAGCTCCTTCTGGGGCCGGGATGTTTAAACAGGGCGCGGCCACGCGACAGGGAACTAAAGCAAACTGCGGTTATCGATCCCCAACCTTTCCCAAGCCGTGAGGTCATTGCCGGAGAAAACATGCCAGGGAGGAGAGGTGTCACCTGGGAGGGTCCTGGGGTGCGGAGCCCCCCGCCCTGCCAGCTCTGGCCACTGCAATTGCGACGGGGTCGAGTTCAAACGTGGTCTGACCCCCCCAGGGGCTCCACCAAGAGCCGCGGGGCTTTTCCGTAACCACAAGCAGCCCGGACTCACTTGCGCTTTTCCTGTTGAAGCGGTGACCGTGGTCACCACCCCGCTGTCCTCCTCGAGACCTTGTTACCCCACAAAACATCTGTGGTGGGAGGACTGGGTCCAGAGCTGAGCCTGGACCGTTTTGCCTCTCGAGGCTCTTTTGTGATGACGCAGAGCTGGCGGGGAGCCTGCCCAGATGAAAAGCTTCTCTTGCCACTGACCTTTTTGAGCTCCATGAAGGTGTATTCCATGCCACTACAGAGGCGAATTTCATCCTCATATCTAAGGAGAGTGAGAAAAAAGGGTAAGAAATTGCATGTGAAAGCCTCAGGGATGGTGAAGGTCGTCTTGCTCACCCCAAAAACGTCACTATCAACACTTTCTGCTTTTACTATGATGTCCCACGCTAGACGGTGTGAAGAGGTATCTCTTAGGTTTGAGCATCTTGGACAAGAGGGAGGATAACAAGCTGCCACGCACCAGCTGCTCTGTAGTTACACCGTGAGCACTTGAAATCTGAAGAGCCCCAAAGCAGAGAGAAGGTAGCTTTAATTCTAGCTTAATTTGAGGGCTAAGCAACCTCAAGTTAGCTCACTTTTGCCACAGAAAGAGAGAGTAGGCATGGAGGAGTGGGGCGTGGTGAGTTGTTCTCTGCGAAACCCAATCTCATGTCCAAAGAGTCCCAGATTTTTCACCCTAAGCTTCCCTCTTCTGTTTCTTTCAGGTATCGCCAGCATTTAATTTCCACAGCCTGAGAGTCTTCTCAAGGGAGAAATATCCAGCTTGTGAAAGTTCTGCGAATACTGGGCCGGTGTCATGACTTACCCTAAATTTTGAGAAGTAACACAGGACCTGGCAAAGCAGTTTGTGGAAAACAGTGCCCACAGAGCAGAAGGTAAGGAAAACCGGACGGGATAGGGTGGAGCCCTAATGGCTGGATATCCATGGAGGAACCAACCCTGCAGGTGTTTAAAGACAGGTTTGATAAGGCAGGACCAGGATAGCAGAGCTTTGGTCCAGGGGCAGATGCACTTCGTGGTGGCCAGCAGCAGACACGAGAGGCTCGCTTAGGGAACAGCCCTCCGTGGCTCCTGGGACGAGCGTGTGGCTCGCCCTGATGTTGCTAAAAGCAGGTTGCGGACCTGGAAGCCACAGGGTCTCTTTTGGGCCGGGCGTGTGACCAGGCGCCCCTGGTTCGTTTGCCGCGCCGGGAGCGTTACGTGATGGGTGTTTGGTGTCTCCTGCTGGACTCACATTGGGAGTGGGGGCTCTTCTGCTGAGACCGGAGCAGGTTGCGCTCTCAGGGAGGTCGTGGCTTCCCTGCTCTTCTGTGACACGAAGGGCCATGGAGATGATGAGAGGGCTGGAGAAGCTCTGCTCTGAGGACAGGCTGAGGGAGCTGGGGTTATTCAGCTCGTTGGGGAAGAGAAGAGAAGGCTCCGGGGGGACCTAACA